TACCATCTACTTCATCAAACTCTGTCCTACTTTTCCCTCTCCTCCTATTCTAGTTCTTTTCAGCAAGCTCGGGCTATATTCTGCTCTATCTAGCTCTATCCTATTTTTCTCTCTCCTCCTATTCTAGTTCTTTTCAGCAAGCTCGGGCTATATTCTGCTCTATCTAGCTCTATCCTACTTCCCCTCTCCCTCCTATTCTAGTTCTTTTCAGCAAGCTCGGGCTATATTCTGCTCTATCTAGCTCTATCCTACTTTTCCCTCTCCCTCCTATTCTAGTTCTTTTCAGCAAGCTCGGGCTATATTCTGCTCTATCTAGCTCTATCCTACTTTTCCCTCTCCCTCCTATTCTAGTTCTTTTCAGCAAGCTCGGGCTATATTCTGCTCTATCTAGCTCTATCCTACTTTTCCCTCTCCCTCCTATTCTAGTTATTTTCAGCAAGCTCGGGCTATATTCTGCTCTATCTAGCTCTATCCTACTTTTCCCTCTCCCTCCTATTCTGGTTCTTTTCAGCAAGCTCGGGCTATATTCTGCTCTATCTAGCTCTATCCTACTTTTCCCTCTCCTCCTATTCTAGTTCTTTTCAGCAAACTCGGGCTATATTCTGCTCTATATAGCTCTATCCTACTTTTTCCTCTCCCTCCTATTCTAGTTATTTTCAGCAAGCTCGTGCTATATTCTGCTCTATCTAGCTCTATCCTACTTTTCCCTCTCCTCCTATTCTAGTTCTTTTCAGCAAACTCGGGCTATATTCTGCTCTATCTAGCTCTATCCTATTTTTCTCTCTCCTCCTATTCTAGTTCTTTTCAGCAAGCTCGGGCTATATTCTGCTCTATCTAGCTCTATCCTATTTTTCCCTCTCCCTCCTATTCTAGTTCTTTTCAGCAAGCTCGGGCTATATTCTGCTCTATCTAGCTCTATCCTACTTTTCCCTCTCCCTCCTATTCTAGTTCTTTTCAGCAAGCTCGGGCTATATTCTGCTCTATCTAGCTCTATCCTACTTTTCCCTCTCCCTCCTATTCTAGTTCTTTTCAGCAAGCTCGGGCTATATTCTGCTCTATCTAGCTCTATCCTACTTTTCCCTCTCCCTACTATTCTAGTTCTTTTCAGCAAGCTCGGGCTATATTCTGCTCTATCTAGCTCTATCCTACTTTTCCTCTCCCTCCTATTCTAGTTCTTTTCAGCAAGCTCGGGCTATATTCTGCTCTATCTAGCTCTATCCTACTTTTCCCTCTCCCTACTATTCTAGTTCTTTTCAGCAAGCTCGGGCTATATTCTGCTCTATCTAGCTCTATCCTACTTTTCCCTCTCCCTCCTATTCTAGTTCTTTTCAGCAAGCTCGGGCTATATTCTGCTCTATCTAGCTCTATCCTACTTTTCTCTCTCCCTCCTATTCTAGTTCTTTTCAGCAAGCTCGGGCTATATTCTGCTCTATCTAGCTCTATCCTACTTTTCCCTCTCCCTCCTATTCTAGTTCTTTTCAGCAAGCTCGGGCTATATTCGCTCTATCTAGCTCTATCCTACTTTCCCTCTCCCTCCTATTCTAGTTCTTTTCAGCAAGCTCGGGCTATATTCCGCTCTATCTAGCTCTATCCTACTTCCCCTCTCCCTCCTATTCTAGTTCTTTTCAGCAAGCTCGGGCTATATTCTGCTCTATCTAGCTCTATCCTACTTTTCCCTCTCCCTACTATTCTAGTTCTTTTCAGCAAGCTCGGGCTATATTCTGCTCTATCTAGCTCTATCCTACTTTTCCCTCTCCCTCCTATTCTAGTTCTTTTCAGCAAGCTCGGGCTATATTCTGCTCTATCTAGCTCTATCCTACTTTCCCTCTCCCTCCTATTCTAGTTCTTTTCAGCAAGCTCGGGCTATATTCTGCTCTATCTAGCTCTATCCTACTTTTCCCTCTCCCTACTATTCTAGTTCTTTTCAGCAAGCTCGGGCTATATTCTGCTCTATCTAGCTCTATCCTACTTTTCCCTCTCCCTCATATTCTAGTTCTTTTCAGCAAGCTCGGGCTATATTCTGCTCTATCTAGCTCTATCCTACTTTTCCCTCTCCCTCCTATTCTAGTTCTTTTCAGCAAGCTCGGGCTATATTCCGCTCTATCTAGCTCTATCCTACTTCCCCTCTCCCTCCTATTCTAGTTCTTTTCAGCAAGCTCGGGCTATATTCTGCTCTATCTAGCTCTATCCTACTTTTCCCTCTCCCTCCTATTCTGGTTCTTTTCAGCAAGCTCGGGCTATATTCTGCTCTATCTAGCTCTATCCTACTTTTCCCTCTCCCTACTATTCTAGTTCTTTTCAGCAAGCTCGGGCTATATTCTGCTCTATCTAGCTCTATCCTACTTTTCCCTCTCCCTACTATTCTAGTTCTTTTCAGCAAGCTCGGGCTATATTCTGCTCTATCTAGCTCTATCCTACTTTTCCCTCTCCCTACTATTCTAGTTCTTTTCAGCAAGCTCGGGCTATATTCTGCTCTATCTAGCTCTATCCTACTTTTCTCTCTCTCTCCTATTCTAGTTCTTTTCAGCAAGCTCGGGCTATATTCTGCTCTATCTAGCTCTATCCTACTTTTCCCTCTCCCTCCTATTCTAGTTCTTTTCAGCAAGCTCGGGCTATATTCTGCTCTATCTAGCTCTATCCTACTTTTCCCTCTCCCTCATATTCTGGTTCTTTTCAGCAAGCTCGGGCTATATTCTGCTCTATCTAGCTCTATCCTACTTTTCTCTCTCCCTCCTATTCTAGTTCTTTTCAGCAAGCTCGGGCTATATTCTGCTCTATTCCACTACTACTAGTGTTTATATGATGTCTGGAGTATCAATGAGGGGGGTTCGAATTTCAACGCAGTTAGTGCTTGGTGTGGCACCATACATCATTCAAAGTGCTGAACACCTCTTAACATAGTTGTATTGGTAATTGTCGGTAGATATGATGAATGGCTTCAGGCACTAACTTATTCCAGGTAAGAAGTGACCAAGAAGTAACGGAGATGATGGCGGCGGCAAATAGTTTTCTGGGACTCCGGTAAGGTCTAGACGTTACGATCGCTTTTAAGATCATTCTCATTGTGTTCTAGACTCATTATTCTAGACTCATTGTCCTAGACTCTTTATTCATAAAGAGAGTACTCAAAATATTTTAGATTGTTCCAGAAAATGGTAAAAGTGTTATGTATTTAAAATTCTCTTAGACGTACCTCAAAAAGCTTTTAAGGAAAAAATATGCACTCATTTGACAAATGACTTTAATATATTAAGTGAGTACATTTGCTGCACGTTCTTTAAAAACGTGCGATCACCACATGATCTACGTAATAAGATCACAAGCCCAGTTAATAACATTACAACTCTATACTAGTCTAGTAAAACTAGACTAAAATAGTCAAAACATGTTAGTAATATTACAACTTTGGGCTAATCATAATCTATAAGTAATTTATTTATTTCCAGTCTAGACCGGACTAATAGTACGTGATTCGAGAATTTGGAGTGGTGGTGGATCCGCATTAAAATCTACCCATAAGTCATGAGTTCCAACACTTGGATTGCAGTTTCTTGATTTCGTTCCCTAATTAAAATAATCTAATCCGCAATTTTCATGAATATAAATGTTGGAATTCTCTCAGAGATGAATCTCTGAAGACGTGGAATCCTTCCAACTGGATCTGGCTTGGTGGGTCTGATGCCGCAGAAGAGGGGGTCTGGAAATGGGTCGACGGATCTCCTGTTAGTATATTAAGAGGGAAAGTAACAAATAATAATATAAACATTAATTGTAAAAGCCGATTACATTGTGAGATAATCACTTTATCAAGAAACATTCGGTAAGTTATCAATGAGAACGACATTTCCTGGCTGCTAATGGGATAGTTCTCAAGTTTGATAAATCAATGTCTGACTAATCTTTACTGACTATCCAACATTTCAGATTGACTACTTCGATGGAATGGATTGGAGACCCCCTAACCCCGACAATGCTGACTTTCTAGGCGGCGAAGATGGCCAACATTTCCTCGCTCTTTCACGATGGGGTAAATTTGATGACTCCTTTGATAGCAAGAAAAAACAACGACCATTTGCTTGCCAATGCCCAGGCACGTGAAACTTGGAGGGAGTCTGTGGAATATAGCTGTAGAGGGATTATTGTGTATGAAAATTGATTGCTTTAGATAAAACTTGCTCCAGAAAAAAACAAAGATTATATCATGGAAGTTGACAACTGTAAAATATTTTACATTTTCAATAGTTTCAAAAAAATATTTTTTTATTTTGAGTTCTCGACAGTGAAAATGATAAAATAGCATTATCGTCACATTTTAAGCTTTCAAAAAATTATTTCATCTGAGTAGCTAGAACTCCCATTTTTCAGGAGAAGTCTATTTTAAAAGGCCAAACACAATCCATTATAAAATTATAATTTTCAAAACGCGAAAAAGAACGTGGTTATTATTTGATTTGATATTATAATCCTCGAATGAGTAATAATAGCAAGTCATACCAAAAATATTTATTAATCGATGAAATTATCTTATTCACATTTTAAGACAACTTTTGGTACCAAATTTATCAAAATCGGAGAAACAAAATTCTGTACCAATTCATGGCGCTTATTAATATTACATTAGACTATTACATTAGACTTATTACATTACATAGACTATCGGGCGCACTCAATGAATCAGAAATAAGCCCCAGTGTATGTGTACTGACTTCTCGCACACACCTCCCCCTTCCCTTAATATTTACGGCGAATGATATGATGAAATAATGAGAAGACGTTTGTACTTGTAGATTTTTGCGCAGTATTTAGAATCGTGAACATGTACTTTAGCCCGTAAAGCGGAGAATTTCTATGTGTTCGTAATACTAAACACTAATAGTAATAGACAATTTTGGAAAAATGAGCAATTTAAACAAGATGTGCTTCATGTCATTTGCTCGTTAGAAGAGTTGCATATCGCCCACTTTTCGTGTTGCAACGCCCACGTTCACAAAATTTATCTTCAAACCTTAAAGGCTCATTACATTATTTTTGTTGCTCGTGCCTGGTTGCTGCTTATAGATTGAAGTTCATTAAATACAGACTCTGGTTGTCTTTGAGGTACGTGACTTTTCCCAGCTTTGGGAAATTAATTTGTTTCATTTTTGATTTTTGATTTATTCAGTCAAAAATAACATAGGTAACCAGTCAATCAACCTTATCGTTTTATTTTTCCTTTTTCAGGAAATGAAGGTGTTTCTACTCCTCCTATTGGTTGGCACAGGGTATTGCCTTGACAGAACGCAACTCCATGGCCTTAAGGCTCTTCTCAAAAACCTTGACGGAGCTTTCGCAACGTGCCAACTTGTCTTATTCAGTGTAAGTAAAATAAAGTAAAATAAAATCAACGTTCGTGCTTGCCAGCATTGTGACATAATAATGTCACAAGAACAGAAGATTTAGCTATGGTCGATTTTTTGAAGATGGCTAGGTGATTCGTATATTTTCTGTACCGGTTATTAGTTAAAACCAGGTATGTGTGCTGTAAAAACAAATTTGTGTCACCGATCCGACCATTAACCAACTTTATCAATCAGTAAGAGCATTAAACTTTGAGATACCATTAATACATCTACTATTATATCTATACTACGGCCGGGACTTCACTATCGCAGTTGAAATGCAAAAGTATAAAACCTCTATTATATTCTAAAACACGCATTACATTTTCTTACTTAAAACGGTGCGAAAGTATGAACTCGCTCAGTCCAAACAGACTGCAATTTAATTCTGAGTGCACCTCACATATCTAATACTCTAAAAGTAATACTTGATAGCAAATCTTGATACCTCCACTGCCAAATTACATAATTATATGATATATCGAAAATCTGTTATGAGGGAAGAGAGAGATATAGCGAGAGTGGGAGAATACACACATACACTTTAGTATCACATTTGTCATTTGGGTCACAAAATGATCAATTAAACCACTTACCATCGACCGATTTTTAAAAACTTAATCGTTTGGCTTCGTCAGAGTTTTTTCGACAGTATACCGAAAAAACCAGTCGCGTATCTCTTACCGTTTTCTTGATTTAACCGTTCGGAAATTTCCCACACACAAACAGACACACACATCCTGGGATTATTAATATTGATATATATAATCACAACTACTTCATAATCAACACTTCACGATATGTATCCTGCAGGAAATGGTCGACTACGACACAGCCGAGCAAAAATGTCAGAACTTTGATATAGGTCAGTGTTTGTTTATTCCTTTGTGCAGTTATCATGTTAAAGCATATAATAATAATATATATATAATAAGGAACATGCATTTTCTATTTCCATATTTCCAAAATGTGTAATATTTTTCCTTTTGTCCCAGGTACGGGAAGTGGTACCGGAAACCTGGCAACTGTGTCAGATGAGGACAAAAACACTGATTTGAAGTTGCTGTTAGGCATGGCTTATACTGTGAAAGATAAAGCCGGCAGGTATGACATAGGGTTTTAACTTGTTTCGCAAGTAAATCAAGCGTGAGAAGGCTCTCGTTAGAGCAATGATATATAATAGCTCAGAGTTAATCACGATCGTAATTACAAATGTAAGCTGAACGATCAATAGCGCAGATCTAGTTTAGTTAACATTTATTTAGTACACTACCGACATATTTATTTTAAATGAATCATGAAGAAGAGCTGTTCAATAAATCTAAACTATTATCATTATAAAACTTAGGTGGGACGCTGATCAATGGGTTTGGGCTGGAATGAGAAAAACGAAAAACAACGACGGTAGCAAAAAATCTCGCGATTACAACGCAGCGGTGGGTTTTATGTAAAACTTTCTTCCAGTAATTTTATACAGGGTGCCTCAACAAAACTCATCCAAATTATCAGTACTGGGTTTTATTTCGGGTTGGAATTAAACGCTGGACGCCACAATAAGATGATGGTTTAACATATAATGATGGTCTTACTAATATAACATGTTGCTACACGTTGTATACCTCTTATCTTCGGCCGCCGAAAAGAGGTATTTATACAAGCGTGTGTCAAAATACATTTTTTCTTCCATCTTATCAATTTTACTTCTAGGATTGGGAATGGGCAGACGGGGCCAATCCACAGGATTTCAAAAAGTGGATGAAAGGACAGCCTGATCAGAGGAAGGATGGTGACAACCTGCAGAACCAAATGAGAATCAGTCATCACGGTACATTTTTAATATTATCTTATCAGTAATGTTTTGTCTGGTCGTTCTTAAAATTGGTAGAAAAACAACCGAATAACATCGTGCACAATTTTTACCATCCAATTTATCACTGATAAAATACTTTTCAAAAGAATGGTACTATTAGTATTACTAAGTCGTGTCCATAGAAAGTTGAAGATATTTGGTGGTATCGACTATCGATAATAAAAATAAGATAATTCTGCGTCAGATCAGAAAATTAACGGTTAAACAAACCATACATCCCCAGGGGAATGGGACGACACATTCAAGTACAAAGAACACCCTTACGCTTGCGACTACCAAGGGAAATATATCCTCTCCAGTACTTTGTCGACTTGGAGCCAAGCTAAAGCGGCTTGTGAAAAAGCTGGACTACAGCTGGCAAAGGTAAGATTTGAACGTCCCTAGTTTTCTGGCCTTAGAGTTTTTTTGATTTTGGTTTCAGAGGATACTGGGATAGAAAAACAAAACCCCGTGAATAATTAAGACAGAATTAGGCTATGTACGTAAACTCATGAGTCGTGACGATCAGTCACTTGATCTGAACAAGCGGAATATTTGTATACAACAATTAGTTCAGAAATAAGATGTGAATGGAGTGGTGTTATTGTTAACGGTAGAAAAATTGAGTCAAGGATTTGACAATTTCGATTGACAGCTTAACAATATAAAGATTGGGAGAATTGGGACAGAGATCAAAATGTTTTATTAAATTAGGGCCGAAATTTCTGAATAATTCTTAATTATTTGAATATTAAATTTGATTGATTTTATCAGTATAAGCACCCCAGACCAATTTATTTGTTAATTATTCAAAAGGAAATTGTCGTTAGATATGATAAATGGCTTATTCCAGGTAAGAAGTGACCAAGAAGTAGCGGAGATGTTGAGGGCGGCAAATACGTTTCTGGGGCTCCAGTGAGTACTATCCGCTACGAACGCTTTTAAAATCATTTTTCCATCATTTTCATTTTGATCTTGACTCTCATTATTGATCAAGTGCGCTAAAAACAGTTTAGAATTAGATTGTTTCAGGAAATGGTAGAGGAGGTATGTATTTAAAATTTAGTCGATATTCGTCCTTAACCTACCTCACAAAGCTTTTAAGGCAACAATATGCACTCATTTGACAAATGACCTTTATATTAGTAAGTATAAGTACATCGTATTTGCTGCACATTTTTTAGAACGGCCGATCACCACATGATCCACGTACTATAACTATAAATAACTATAAATAAGATCACAAGTCCAGTAAAGTAGATAACACTACAACTCTATATAACTGTATACGGGCTAATAGTACGAGATTCGAGTGAGGATTCAGTGGTTTCGTGTTAAGATCTAGTCATAACTCATGAGTTTCAACACTTGGAGTTCGTTTTCTTAATTAAAACAATCCGCAATTTAGTACAATAAATATAAACCCTCCCAGAGACGAGAGTCTAGCAACCTGGGATGCTCCCAACTGGATCTGGCTTGGTGGAACTGATGCTGCTGAAGAAGGGGTCTGGACATGGATCGACGGATCTCCTGTTAGTTATTTATATTTTAGACAGATCAAAGTCACAAATAATAATATCCACATTTATAAAACCGATGAAATTATGGGATGATTATTAATTACTCTACACTCGAATGTCACGTGACTTTTTCAACTCGTTCTCTAGCTTGCCCTGAACGACTATTCGAAACCCTAAGTCTAACCCTCTAATCTGATCCCAACTTTAACCCTAACCCAATCCCTAACAAAAGCATATGCTGAAACCCTAACCACTAACCATAACGAGAAATTAGACAAACTTCCTTATAAGGTCATATCACGTGATCGAGACATTTTTTCGCCAATACCTTGCCACTTATTTTAACCCTATGTCATGTTGGGTGACTTCGAGATTTTTCAAGAAAAATCTCGAAGTTCGAGTGTACTTGTAGAGTGATTTAACACGCTCGGAAATCATGACGGACGTCAATAAAACATTTTTTGGCTGTTTAAGGCTATCCCACTGAAAGCGGGAACTCAAGTTCAATAAATCATTGTGTGACTATTATGTATTATCTACTGACTATCCAACTTTTCAGATTGATTATTTCGATGGAATGAACTGGAGAGCGCCTAACCCTGACAATGCTGCCTATGTAGGTAAAGATAGCCAAAACTCCCTTTCTCTTTCACGATGGGGTGAATTTGACGACTCCTTTGATAGCAAGAAAAGACGACGACCATTTGCTTGCCAATGCCCAGGCACGTAAAACTTGGTGGGAGTCTGTGGCATAGCTGTAGTATGTAGAGGGATTATTGTGTATGAAAATTGATTGCTTTAGGGAAAACTTGCTTCAGAAAACACAAAGATTATATCATGGAAGTTGATAACTGTGGAATATTTAACATAAATATTTTGATCGCAAGAGATCAAATTTTTCAATAGTTTTGAAAAAATAAAACAACCGAAAATGTTTAAAAAAGTGTTTTTCTTCATAAAATTATTTAACTATGTATAGTTTCAATGACAAATTTTTCAAAAAAGCTTTTTTATTAAAAACCCAAAGTCCTCGAAAGTGAAAATGATGGACGCTACAGATTATAAAAATTGTATTTAGTTTTACATCACAATCACATTTAAGCTTTAAAAATAGTATTTTAGATACAATGTTGACATTTCACACTTGGAATTGGAAATGATGTTATGAAAGATACGTACTACAAAAGAAAAGTCCAGATATTAATTCAATCTGTTCAAATTGATGCTGCTTCCAAATTGTAGTACAATGCACAATATAGTTATACTGGGCCGCGCCGCGCATCCAACAATTCTTTTCGTTAGATCGGCGAGATGGCGGGATGCATAGACTAACCCGGCGCGTGCTACTTCGTAGCACTTGCCTCGAGAAGAAACAAGAAAGCGGCTTACCTGTGGACCTCAGGCTATTATGTTCATAAACATAGAGATTCGGCGCGGCGGAATGACAGGCCGAGCGCGGCCCAGTAAAAAGTTGTATCACGTTGCGACCCCCACGGTCGTTTCACTATACAGGGGGAGCCGTGCACTTCGTGCGCGACGGGTCATACAACGTATGACAAGTAAAAAGCGGCGCGAGCTACTTCGAAGAAATTTAGACGAGTACACTCCTGCGCGCAGTGTCGTGACCTCCTTTCGTCGTAATTAGCTCGTATTCAGATTGAACAATTTTGAAGTCAAATAAATGTGGTTTCTTTTAGACTTAAATAAACAATATGGATGTAGTCCGAAAGTAATTTGTCTACTAAATAACATTTTGAAATTATGAACAAAATTGGCGAAAATTTGCCGTAGATGTGACCAAAAAACTACGCGCAGAACTAAATATTTCTTCATAAACGCGTGAAAATTTTTTCCTTTTCACCCTTTTGAAAAAAGGCAATAGTGAAAGGTTACGAATGGAGGTTTTTGCAGAAAAACGTGGATTTTGGAGAACGAGATAGGTGGGTTTAAATATGTCGTGTGTCCTTCCTTCCGTTCGTTACCATGCAACGAAAAAGTTGGGCGCGCGCGAGGATTGCTTGCGGAGATGTGATGTATAGATAGCCTGTGATCTATGAATGCGCGGCGCGACTGTGTTTTAATGTATATGATGCATGTAATGTATAATATTACTATTGGTTAATACGCCCAATTTGTACGTGGCACGCGTAGTGTATTGATGTGTACACGAGTATAGTTTACCTTTGCTGATAATTTCTTGAATTACAGATACAAGTTAAGTTCTACGGCAATTGAACAGAATTTCAAGTGTTTCCCGTATTTGATGCATAATTTATCAATATTATTATCATGAAGATTGAAGTGAGCTGATTGGAGCTTATACTTAAATTTATAGTAAATCTGACCAAAACCCATAATCATGGGTAGAGTGAACCGCTGCCAGTGTCTCTGATCTTTTCCAAACAAAAGGAAATGATATTAATTTGAGGAACCGTCCGCAAATGCAAATTGATACCGAGAATGAAATCGGTCGCTCGCTTTTCCCATTCAATAAGCTTTATTACAATTCGTAAGCCGTGAATGAATGGGAAAAGCGAGCGACCGATTTCATTCTCGGTATCAATTTGCATTTGCGGACGGTTCCTCAAATTAATATCATTTCCTTTTGTTTGGAAAAGATCAGAGACACTGGCAGCGGTTCACTCTACCCATGATTATGGGTTTTGGTCAGATATCATCTCTTTTTGATTATAATGTCAGGATAATTTACAAAGTCGAAACTTCATTAATAAGGAGGTAATTTCAACGATTTCGAAATTTTACCTTTGAAAACGTTTCCTTGTGTTTAGGTAGGTATATCTGTCGATAACAGACTGAATATGGCACTTTTTATTCATTCAAGTTGGCATTTAATTCATATATAATGCCATTTAAATATCGTGGGAAAGCAGAATATATTCGATATCACGAATGAGCAAAATTCTCACCTTTCGCACGTACAAACTTTGAGCGGACGTTGCGTGCGCATACAATATTGAATCGCCGTAAAATTTTGCATAGTGGTATTTAATATATAGTTTAATAAGCATGCAAAGTTTCAGAAGATTTCAACAAGAACTTGAATCACAACGGGACTCCAAAGTTGATAAAAATCGTGAAAATAACAATTTTCAGTGATATAAGCTATTTTAAATCAATTTGGGCGTGTCCCCACGTGTGCAACTTTTCGATTTTTAACTTTAAAACTAGTCTATAACACAATTTAGACCTTTAGGAAGCAAAATTGAGCTCCACAACCCAAGGGATGGTCCAACACCAGAGAATACTAATTCACAACTTTTGTGTTTTTATAAAATTATTCTTCAAAAAAGCACTAACTTCAATAGCGAATATCTTTATGAAGGAGTAAGGTAGGAAACTTTTCCGGTAGATTTTCAGAATGCTTGAACAATTATCTAAGATGAAAATGTCCTCAGATTTTGAATAAAATTACTTTTTAATGGTGTAATATCGATTTGAAAAGTTGTTACTTTGTCAAAAATCAAGTTTTAAAAACACTTAAATTGATGACGTCATCAAGTGATGATTATGACGATAAATTATTTTTCAATATAGTGTAAACTAAAGTATAAACAATTATCTTTAAAACCTGTGGTTCGAAATGACTGTATCTTTTATACTTTTGAATCTATGGACACTTAAATGTAGGCTATAATTGACTGCCAAAGCGTCTATACATATATACATATTATATACTATACTTCACGACAATCTGTTGTAAAACAGGGGTTCCAGAAAACCCACTTCCCAATACTCCTGAAACATGAAATTTTTTTAACAGTCGATTTGGACAAGGTCTAGACGCCCTGCAAAGTTTCAGATCTCTAACTCAATTTTAACATGGTTTTTAAGGCACCTGAATATGGCGATTTTGGGTTTTTTACCTAATTTCGTATAACATGCTGGCGCGTATTTTGCGCAAATTTCTTAAAAACCTCCACATAACTATTTCTTATTCCTGTCATCTTTAACATTGAATTAGAATGTTTTGAACTTAAATGTACCTGCTGATCTACTTTCGATGAGTCTTAATGCCTGGAAATCAATAAAGGGGATATAATAGTATAGGGGGTAAATAGTATTGTGGATATAAGGGCGACGGTAATGCTTGCCAGCATTGTGATGTGAAATGGAAATCTAGCGTCCGCCGAAACGAAACAACGGGCGCAATTCTTGTTGAGTTTAACATTGAATATTTTAGCTTGGTTATTGTAATACTTAATTTTCAAGTCTCTATCCGATAACTAAATATTTTATCTTTACGACAGTATAAAATTTGTTTGTATATTTGCTAAATTAAAAAAACAGTAGCAATAGAAACGTCGAAGGTCTTGCGCTTATTTCAGTCCCAAAATATACCCTAATCATAAACTTCATAAAACCCACTGAAAATGATGTCTACAGGCATATTTATCCCGTACACCTTCCTAAATCATTTAGCAAGGGTTCAGAGCCAGTTTTTAAAATTAGCTTTCGAATATCATTGTCAAGACATAAAACTATAAATAAATGAGTGCCTTTTTCTCTTTCGTCTCAACAATTTCTCTTTCATTTTAACACTATGCATTAGTTAAAGCAATCAGCGATCTTTATTAATCATTGAAGGAGTAGAGTAATTGGTCCTCGTCAATGTTTAGTGTCTGATTACAGTTTCGGTCCGACCTCCACAACTGAAAAGATATTGGGGGTATTATCAGTTATGTAAATGGACAAATTATATTTGCATCATAAAACTATGAAAAGATTGAAACTAATGTTTTTGAAGGCTCGCCTTTTCGTTTAACTTTAAGCAATCAAATAGTCAGTGCATGCACAGTAAAGAACAGTTGAAGGCACCGGGAATGTTTCAAATATAACCTCTGTCTACTATCAAGTATCAGACCACACACCCCATTATGCACTACAATGTACAATGGCAATTAAAATGTGTTCCCGCCATTTTAAAATGCGCGCATCTTGCGCCGTGACCATGATGGTCACAGCGCATGCTGGTGAACGAGTTATTGGGACAAAATTGGAACATTTTGGAACATTGGTTACATCGGTTTTGGACATGCAGTGATCCCCAAACTTGGTTTGAGTGGTCCTAGGACCAATCTAAACGCTTTCCGGCCAGTTTTCAACCGTTCTGAGCACTTTTAGTTTTAGGAGATTCTTAATTTTTGTTCATTTTCGTGCATTCCATGAACCTGGGTAATTTTCATGCTCATTGGAAATTAGAAGGTAAAATAACTCACATAACAGTGCTCCCGACAAGTTTCACGGATATAGTGATTGAGTTTCTAGTCACCTAACCTCTTGGCCTGAAAGATTTCTTGTTCGCCAGGGTGACTGCTCGAACGTCAACTTCAACCTCTCCCACTGCATCGAATCGAGGTAGAGTTGTTAACTGAAATATTACATTCAGTCTAGCGGCCAAATTTCATTGATTTCAGAGGGTGTGGCACGTCACCCTCTCCTTTTAGTTTTGATTATTGTCGCCATAAAGCGAGAACACTTTATACTAGGAACTCCAAAGTTGACAGACACATTTGGTATAACAATTCAAGTGATTCCCAAAATTCCCACGACAAAGGGGAACCCCAATTATTTATATTAGGGGGTCAAATTATATCACCAATTAGTGCCGTATAATTAATGATGTGATCATCCATCCAGTTGTTTGACAAGTGCCCGGATGAAGTATATGAAAAGTAGAATGGTATGAAGAGAACAGTGGAAGTGGAGGCGTCGAAGAAAGTCTGTGTCTAGGGGGAGCGGTGATTCCAAACGTAGCGGAAAAGCCAATCAAGTTCCTGGGTCGGTGGATTAGAGCAGAGGCAGCACAACAACAGTTTTCTGAGGAAGTGGCAGGGTGTAGGCCATACACGGAGTAACATCTGCTTATTTAGTCAACCATTTAGTGTGGCCTTGCCCATCAGCAGCCTGTCCGATACTCCATCAGTCCTACCAGCAGTTTTTTGATGACATGATAAGGGCGATTTAACCGCAAGTCAGGTCAGGGAGAGTTTGGAGACCAGACAAGGAACTAGATTGTGCTGAGAGGGACTTAGTCTGTGAAGTCGAAGAGGTGAGAGGAATGGTCCAGCCGTACAGCAGGGCAGGGATTGGTTTTGGAGAATGGAAGAAACCGTGGAAGAAGATGAAGACGGACATGAGCTGGCACACACTCTTTAAGTATGGTGATTCGCTCACAGGTTTTATGCTCAGTGCGACTTATGGTACTGTGGTCACACCAAATTGATTTTTTCAAATAATCCAAATACAGGCAGCGATTTAGTCAACTTACGTTTTTCATTTATGTAATTGAACATTAAAAATGTATCCTTCATAGAATTTTACATTTTTCATTATCTCGAGGATATAAAATTGTCAATTGAGAAACACGTCATAAATCTAAATAAATAAGTTCATTAAAATAGCTATCAATCAGTAAATGAACGAACCTGTACATCTAGATTCTAGATGATGTAGGTCCACCACTTGTAACTTGTCAGACCGGTTGTTGTACAGCTTCCTGCTCAGCCTGAAAACACATTTCTGTTACCATGACAACGTTACCATTACAAGTTACACGTGATGGGGAGTGTCCCGAGGTTACGTGACTGATAAAGTTAATAGACGTAGACTTAGTGACTCTAGGGACGGAATTGTATAATTGCCAGAATTATGTTAAATATGAAATAAGTCTCAAGACAAACATTTTGACATGCGTTTTGACACACGTTTTCTCTGCGTAATTTCCACACTTGAGGGGGGGGGGGGGGGGTATAAAGCATGTCATCAAACCCTAATTATACAATTCACATTCAATATTCACTCATGTACACAGACAATTAATTGACACGTGTTTGATGTTTATCGTTAATCTACTCATGTACATACAACAACAAGATACGAGGCTAGGTCACTCCCGGTGTTGGGATGGCCTGAGGTGCTAATCTCCTTTTCATTAACCCTAAGCCACACTGTGCCAAGGCACTATACTTGCTCATGCTGTAGGGGGGTTAGTCCTGCGCCAGAGAAAGTGTATCACCAGCCGAAGCTGTACCAAATCACATCTTGGTAACTAAATGACTATTCCAGAAGTTTATGAAATTCGGAACTTACGTAGATGAGGGCAATCTTCGATACTGGAAGCTTCCTAATTCTTTGCGTCCACCTAGGACTAGCTGCTTCAGAAAGATTTCTTATTTTGTAGAATTCTAAACTGAAAAAGTTGAAAGTATCATTATAAGAAATGCATAAATTCCACAATAAGACTTTTCGTTATTCTTTAATCGTGAGACATTAATTGTTAATGCTTAAAAGTAATTCATCCGGACGAATCCAAGAGTACAATATGTGGTAGGTGTGCTGAGTATTTAGTAGGGTAATTATAAAACACATTATTTGGCCGTTTTAAATCCTGAAATGAGTGCCAAGAGTCAGTTTTGTGGATTATATTGCTGGCTTTAAAGTGGTTTTTAAAAGTTTAAATAGTAGGGTATTTATAAAACACATTATTTGGCCGTTTTAAATCCTGAAATGAGTGCCAAGAGTCAGTTTTGTGGATTATATTTCTGGCTTTAAAGTGGTTTTTAAAAGTTTAAATAGTAGGATATCTATAAAACACATTATTTGGCCGTTTAGGATCCTGAAATGAGTGCCAAGAGTCAGTTTTGTGGATTATATTGCTGGCTTTAAAGGGATTTAAAAAGTTTAAATAGTAGGGTATTTATAAAACACATTATTTGGCCGTTTAAAATCCTGAAATGAGTGCCAAGAGTCAGTTTTGTGGATTATATTGCTGGCTTTAAAGTGGTTTTTAAAAGTTTAAATAGTAGGGTATTTATAAAACACATTATTTGGCCGTTTTAAATCCTGAAATGAGTGCCAAGAGTCAGTTTTGTGGATTATATTGTTGGCTTTCAAGGGATTTAAAAAGTGTAAACAGTAGGGTATTTATAAAACACATAATTACTGAACACGTAACGAGATTTACACCCCTCGGGAAACGTGAGCACACACTTATAACGTGAAAAATCAATAATCAAGTAATAACACGTTTCCTTGCCCCTTCCCTTGTCTGAAAAGTGAAAACTATCCCCTCCCCTTTCACCAAACGTGTGTCTAATCACGAGCAATTTAAATCTAACACGTAAAAACAAGTAACACATAAATGTGAGTACAGTGGCAGTCAACTACATGAGTGGTAGTCAACTGATAGTGCGGAGAAACACGGCACACACGTTAGGCCAGGAATGTTCCGCGCCGTATAAGGAATAATTCATTGGGTGTACAAATAAACAATGTAGTTGGGCCGTGAACTGGTGGTATTTTTTACACAACTTGTTTTAGTGGGCTTGTCAAGTCCTGTGCTCGATTATAGGAGTATAGAAGTGAGGCGGAACACCATAGTATTAAGAAACAGGCACTTTTAGAGTCCATATTATCACTTTTCACGCTCAGTGCTTCAGACTTTAAAGTAAAATTGGCACTTTCCATTTTAACTTCGGCTAATTGATCCCTTACCAATATAAGATAAGTTGTAAATGTAAGTATGAAATTGTGGGTCAAATAAGACAGTAGTTTTTATGTTCTTAGGTGACTTTTTAATCTATAATTCCCGGCCAAAAACTCAAAATTGGCCGGGGCCGGGAATAAACACCTCCCCCGGCGCCGGGAATCCCGGTCGTTCACTGCATTACAGCACAGTAAACAGAGCCAAAGTTGTTACTTGTCAAATGCTAAAATAGAATCTCTAGAATACAAATAAATTCATTCGATCAACATCGACAATGACGTCACAACGACGGTAACGTCACGAAGCTCACTTGAAGTGTTTGCTGCTGTCTGAGTTTATCGGCGCCCAGCTTGTTCGCCAGTCTCTGTACTTCTTCAGCGTGCTGATTCAACAGCTCTTTAGGAGATGCTTCTTGGTCTTTCAGCGCTTTTATGTTTTAGCTTCACCTGAAATAATCGAGAGGTAATATTGTCTTCTTTCTCTGATAACAAACAAAATAATAAACAAACAAATAAGCAAAGTTTTGTCTGTTTTCAAGCTCAAAAGTAATAGTTTAATATAACAAGACTGGCTAAGTAAAGTAAAACAATTATACTCGTTCTAATTGATATTAGCTTACTTTGATTCAACGAAAACCTACCTTTTATCTGCTTTCGTGAAATTCAAAAGTGATGTTAAACTTTAAAGTAACACGAGCCCTTTTGATAAATTATGTACCAAGTACACTATGTAATACAGCAAAGTCGATAACTGCTGTTAAAGCCAAAGTTCAAAGCGAGTGTAGAAACAAGAAATAGCGCGAAATTATAATGATCACACCACGTACACGTACAACGTATGATCTGCATTATGCTCCTTCATCAACTAATTCTAGTTTTAAACGATTTTGACACGCTAAAATGCGCGCGTGGATTTGCGCGGCGCCTAGAAAACTTTTAAAGCTGTCGGATAGAGGTTAATTAATTTTTCTACTGTCAACACAGCCCAAGTTATACATGTTTTAATATCAAAAAATGTCCAATTTTTTTGTATCATTTTTAACTAATTTCTTTTTTAAATCGCTGCCACATCAAAATTATTTTACGAAAGTACATTAAAGTTTCACAAAAAGCAAGCTTTATCGTTTTAGAACCAAATTAAAAAAGAATTTGGTATAAAAATGTTAAAACTTTAAATTTATCAATGGAATAAATTGGCAACGTCCAAATATGTGTAAAATAAGACGAAGAGGGGTCACAACACTGCGCGCAGCGGTGGAGTAAGTGTAACATGACATCCGTCGATCGAGAGTGATGTGAAACTTTTACTAGCCTCTATCTGCTCCTGTCTTCCAGAACTTGGGTTCAAGTTGCTGGTTACAGCAGATACAGGGCGGGTAGCAATTATGTTTAATTGACGATGTCAATTCATCGCAGCTCCAAGCTCGCGGCGAGGCCCAGTTGCGCATTTCGCGGCCGATCTAGCTGTGGTTGCGAGACTCATAATTGAGTGCGCGGCGCCGCCCAGTAACGCATCGTACTACAAGATTTGGTCTAAATTTAATTTCTCGTTAGGGTTAGGGTTTCAGCATGTGCTTTTACATATGTTTTATTAGGTGTTGGGTTTGGGTTGTGATCAGATTGGCGGGTTAGAGTTTCGAATATTCATTCAATGACACTTAGAGAATGGGTTCAAAAAGTCACGTGGCTGTGATTAATCATCGTTCACGTACACGGTGACATAATAGTGCAAAATAAAGCAAGTTTTGAAACTTTTTCATACGTATCAAATTGAATGTGTTTTCGCGGGAGATATCAGATATACAATATAGCAATAGCGCGCCATAATTTAACGGGTGATACTCGTAAAATATTTGTTCCAAATACTAATATATTTGGATTAATTAATACCGTCGACGATCGTCCAACTCGGCGCGCGTCTTGGTAGGTTTTTTTAAATCTCAACACTTATTTTACTTCGGACATTCCAACAGCCACATTCAACATTGTACACAATGTGTAACCAGCCAAGTGTGTAACCAGCCAATTACAGGAAGCCGAAGGATTCAATTATACATTAGGCCAGTGACGGTTAAGGTAGTGTGTACCATACTTTCTTCGCCCGAGACTTTGCTGCAATGGGCAGCTCCTCATTTAACCCTCACACCCGATTTCTCGAGTATTTGGCTGAGTGGACCGGGGGCTGCATAGACCACTCAGGATCCTTAGCTGAGCGTCGACGACGCTCACCCCACGGCCGGCTAGTGACAGAGTCGGGAATCGAAACTGGTACCTCAAGCAATACCAGGCGGATTAACCAACTGAGCCACTAAGCCGTTATAAACCTACAAGCCATATAATAATATATCGCAATTATTGAACCCCGGCCCCCTCAGTGGTTACTTGCTACACGTTGTATTTTACTGGGCCGCGCTCAGCCTGTCATTCCGCCTAATCTCTATATGTTTATGAACATGATAGCCTGAGGCCCCCAGGTAAGTTGTATTATAATTATATGCCTTTAAGTTTAATCTTTGTAGCGCGATGCACTACTAGGCCGCGTCGCGCATCCAATAATGCTTCTTTGTTCTTGCCGAGCTGCTGAAGGATCGAAATCGCGTCAAGTTTTGATTTTAAAGTAATCGTGAAGATAATATAAAGATTTGAAGTACTAACAACTAATTTCTACACATTAACTTTAAATACTTCAACTTGCCATTATTATTAAAATAGAAATTAAATCAGCATTTACAAATGTACACAGAACGGTTTAAATCTAATTTGCCATACGTCATGCGTTGTATGACCCGCCGCGCACGAGTGCTCGGCTCCTCCTGTATCGTAGAAACGATAGTGAAACGACAATGGGGGTCACGACGTGATACAGGTCATTCCTCCAGATCTCTATGGACATAATAGCCTCGAGTCCCCGGGTAGTATTGTGCTTTTAACGGAGAAATACGTCAGTAGCGTTTTTGAGTGTGATATTCTCTTTTAAAAGTATTCCAAGTGCAAGTGATTTGTATTTACCTGGGGACCCCAGGCTATTATGTTCATAAACATTATGTTCATAAATGCCGAATAAAGACTCGGCGGAATGACAGTGGCGCGAAAGCACATGGTTAGGTGAATTTGACCATTGTTAATGATCTGGCCCGGGCGCGCGCTACTTCGTAGAACTTGCCATCGAGAAGAAAGCGGCGCGCGCTACTTCGAAGAAATTTAGACGAGTAACATCCGTCAAAGGTGAATAAGATTTGTATAAGTGCATATATTAATTTTGAATACATTGCAAAAGATTTTATCTCGATTCATTTGCTACACGTTGTATACCTCTCTCGTGCACTCTAGCTCTGGCTGGCCGCCACGCGCGCGGTCATATTCATAAGGGGATTACACTTACAGCGTGTGTCACCGATTCATGAAGTTAATTATCAAGGTCGTTCACATATTACGTAATCAGCAGAGGGAGGTGGGGGATTTCCAAATTGCGAATGAATACGTTAGTATAATTTTGACACAATAGCATTGAGCATGTGTAAAACTGATAATACGGAGGGGTGGGGTAAAGAGTTTACAAAAAGTGAAATATGAGAAAGAGTCGACCCCTAAACTGTAAACTGCTTACTGCGCTTTACGTAATAATTGAGCGACCCCTCAGAAAATAAATTTGAACTTTCCATCCTATCTAATCAAGACAAAAATTCTGCTAAGAAATGCGAAAAGAGCGTAAAATTTCCGTTGTTTACAGTGGCACAATAAGGCGGAATATTAGCAACAACGAAATACTAATACCTGAGGACCTCAGGCTTTTCTGTTCATAAACGATTGAAAATATGGCGAAATGGTTGCTACACGTTGCAAGCCTCTCTGATCTCGTGCACTCCGACCTTGGACCTGAAGCCGCCGCGTGCGAAGGGGTTACAACGTGTATCAACGAAATGGCAGGCTGAGCGCCGACCAATAATGAAATAGATTAAAAGAAAATTAGGCGTACATTTTTTGAAGAATGGCCTGAATATTGTTTGTGTGTTGTGCGGTTAATTTTATTTTCCTAATATATGGCGATGTTTTAATCAGGGAGGGGGCTTAATAAATGATCTTCAATAAAACGAATTCTGAAATAAGCTCAAAAGGTGAAAAATAATCATTACAATAGATACTCTACTGTATTAATTTATATATAGTCAAGCCATCCACACCACCTAAAGGTCTACACCCTAACTGTGGTTTAGGTCGCTACATTACAGAGGGTGTAACAGGACACACCTACTGTGTATTGAAGATATTGGTATTAATTGATAATTCACATCAACATATGCTTTCGTTTAAGCTTGCAGAACATCTTCGCAAGTACATTACACCCTGCAACTAGACGTGTACCCTGCTACTTCTCATCTTTCTGGGAGACTGCACAGTTCTCCTTATTTTCCTTTTTAACTTCAACGAACATATAAATCAAAATAGCCATGACGTCCTTGGGATTTGGGAAATCAATATAATATAATTTAATAAACTTAACACTGACTTAAATTTAATGTATTATAAATAATAAAATATCAATCAACATCAGTGATTGACATGGGTCGTTTATAAACAGAACCCTGATCACTAAAATAAAGACAACGAATTTGACTCGCCACGATTTAGGGTTCTGTTCACCGAAAAATATGTACAAAATTTCGTTTCAATATTGATAAGATGTAACGCCAAAAATTATCGATTCCTCATCGTTCGAAGCCAGATATTCTCTATATGTAATATAAACTTAAATATGAGCAAAAATTGGTCAAACCACCATATAACACCGAAAAATCAAAAAAGTTGACCAGAAAACGGAGTAATTAAGTACTCACAACAAGGTTATGAGTTGAATAGTCCAACCCTAAAATGTTGAATGATAAAAGGGACGCATTTTGTCCTGCGATGGAGCGCGCACAAAAACAGCACGTGCAGCTGTTCACGCCGCGCACTTTATCATGACGTAACAACTAGATCGGTTATCTTGTAACAGAGCCTCTCAATCGTTCATGTTTTCTTCCGTTACTTCGTGCGGGTTGAGAATGCCGGGTACAGTCATCTGGTATTTGAGTTTAGCGGAGGCGGCCGTCTTTAGTTGTTCCTGCTTCTCTTGCAGATACAGGTCTGTCATATCCTCTCCAGCGCATTCCTGAGGGTAATATTTGTGATATTCTGAGCACCTCACATCGGTAATTAAATATTATTATCTGCCATGAATTCTAACCGTTCACCGTGAGCGTTATAAGCTACTTATACTTTTCAGTCAATGTTTGAGGTGCAAAGATATGATGGCTATGTGTGTTAACTAATAAATTCTCGTTGTTTTTTTAAATATAAGAGCAAACATTTGTCTCTTATTCTCAAGAAGCAGAATATTCTCCAGAAGAAGACTACTAGGAACTCCTTTACGCAGAAACTGACAACCCAAAGAATTGGGTCAAATCTATAGTTGAGTAAGGACGGTATTCAGTCCCTGGTATTCAGTCCCTGGTACATATTTTCCTGCAATTTCGTACATAGAACTTCTCTCACGTTCCCTTTCGTTAGCACAAAGCAATGGAGGAAGCTGAGTGAGTGAGTGAATGAGTGAATGAGTGAGTGAGTGAGTGAGTGAGTGAGTGAGTGAGTGAGTGAGTGAGTGAGTGAGTGAGTGAGTGAGTGCCCTTGGTTGAAAGTCACAATATCGTTACTAGAGAATTGTAGAATCTGAACACCTGTTAGTAGTATTCCACGTGACTTTAACTCGAATAAGCTCACCAGCTCCCTGGGGATCATTACCCGAACAATTACAGAGTTCCAAGTAACAGCCCCTGTGTCGGGAGCCCTGAACTTGTCCCACCTGTTAAAGGAGAAACTCACGTGACTTAACACGTGACACAAGGCTCCACTCACCTCTAACCAGATTATAAGTGGATTATAGAGAGAGCGGAGATGTGGAAATTTAGTTACCAGTCTCAGTAACGGTCTAAAGCACTAGTGGCTAATTAGTTGCTATGACACCCAGTTGCTATGGCCTATCTCAAAATTCTGTCCGAGTCTTTTTTTTAAATGATCACTAGAACATATCCTGAAAGTTTCAGGGTAATTGCCTAAAAACTATAGAAGATATATTTTTAGAATGAAATTTGCTCGCATCTTAAACTGAGTTTAAGGACTGACTGGGGGAGGGGGTGTATGCACTGTTCCTAAGTCCTTTGGTATTGTACGAGTCTTTATTAACAAAACTTTTGAACAACTGAAACTTAATATAAAATTGTTCTTAAAAATTCAAGCTAGAAATACCACGCTTTCTCGGTCATTTCCAATAATTCAATCGACATTTTCAATGTTAAGTTAGTATTCTCTAGTGCCATAACAGACACCAAGGACACTGCACTACTACTAACATGTCTAATATACATAGCTCCCTCCCCATTCCTGAATACCTAGGACACTACTACTGTGCAGTGTGCTATAAGATGTAATCATAACTGCTATTTCTGTGTTTCCACACGGTTCCAATACCATCTCCATAGCAACAAACAGCAGGATCACGTGACTGAGAATAAGAGCCGGCCAGGTGGCAGCCGTAACCCGAGCTGGTACTGCACGTGGGCTGAGGGAGCAGCACAATAAGACACGTGGTACTGCACGTGAGCAACAGTTTCTACTTTCACCTTTGTCTGGAGAGGTCACGCAGCGGATAATCAGTTGCCACGCAACGCGCTGCCCCTCGCTCTCATATTTTAATGGCTCCTCGAGGACGGTATCCTCATTCTTACCTCAGTACCATTTTCTCTTGCGACCTTGCTGAACCTACTGCCAGGGAGAAATGCTGTATTTTACATTATATTCGCAACTAGTAGCATTTCTTAATAAGGCTTATTTAATCCTTCAGATTAAAGTTCATTATTTACCCTATCTAATGTGTCTGTTTCTTAGCTAAACTCGATTTAAAGATGATGAAACTTGTGGTATTAGCCCTATTTCTGGCGACTGCTTATTCTGAGGGTAAGTAATATATCACACTCCTTATTGATATTTATAAACCTATTTGATTTTAGTTATATTTTATTATGGTCATTTTAGTAAACGACATATTCTTTCAATGTGTTTACAGATGACATCCTATTAGTATTAGAGATGTATTTTATACTAACAGCTATAATTAGATAAACAGGTTCCTGCTAATATCTGTAACATATAAAATGGTGTAATACTCCTTCATACAAGTCAACTTTTCAGCCATCAAGTGCTTCCAAAAAGAAGGTGATGAAGTCGTAGATAAGGTGTGTGCTGATGCTGGGGCTACAAAATGCAAGGGGTACGTAGCCAACATGCACACAACATGCAAACTGATTATATTCGCACTATGAGACAAACTAATCTTATCTCTTTTTGTGTTAATAAGGGATTCAATGAAATAATATGAAAACGTATTCATGATTTGAGAGCGCTTTATCAATAAGTGAATCATCGAATTATTTAAAATCTTAGTTATTTAATTATGTTACAATGAAGGCGGTATTATCAATGTTAAATTTCAGGCCGGCATTTACATTCGCAGAAGGATTTTCAGATTACGCGTTCGGTTGTGGTGAATGCGCATCTGGTGAGGCAGGGTGTATGGATTGTGCAGGGGCAAGCTGTAACAAGGTAGAGGAATTGGGTAAGGAATATGAGTGTACCAATTACGAGTGGAACGCTGATGATACAAAGTTTGTGGCAAATGAGGCGATGACCAAGTGCAAGAGTAAGGCGAGCACAGACCAGAACCTGTGCAACAAGTAAGTTTATAAAGCTAGGAGCAAGTAACTTAACAGGTATAAGTCACTTTTTGTGTGTGAAATTTGAAATGCTTGTAATAGCTTGTTATTTAACAATAACTTTACTTCTAGGCCCGGTGCAGAGGCAAAGGCAGAAGCAGATTTCACCAAAGTTAACGTAGGATGTGGACCCTGTGAAGTTCCAGCACAAAAGACCGCTGAAAAATGCGCGGAAACGAACAGTGCAGTGAGCATGACAGCTCTCCTCCTGCCCCTTATCGCAGCTATATACGCTCTCTTCTAGACACAGCACTCTTCTAGACACACACGTACTCTAATACAAACTCTAATAGAAACTCTAATTGTACCGCTCAGTAACCTTGGTAACGGTTCAGTAACCTTGGTAACGGCTCTCACTTCCAGATTCGTAAACCTTGTCCTTGCTTAATTCTTTGTAATTACCAAGAACTCGGGTAAAGCTGCGCAAAGTGATATTTCTAAGTTGACAAGAACAGAATAGATATGTTAGAGGATGATGTTTTGTATAATGTGAATTGTTTAATACTTTATCTTTCCTTTAATTAATTTATTATTTCGTTTCTAAAATAAATAAACAATTACTCCGTGTACCTGTTAATATAAGTAGTATGAGGAGTAATTATCCAACTAAACAACAAATCTGAAGATCTCCTAAAGAAAAAGTGATAACTATTACATGAATGATGAAATTAAAATACAAAAGGCGTTATTAGGTGCAACTGAAATACAAAAAACGTGGATAATATCTGGTAATATTTGATAACTTATATTGTAATATCAATAACTTATATTATGATATTAAAGTTATAAAGAGGCCATTTGAATACCGAAAATGGACAAGTCGTACTTAGTTTAGGGCCAGCATATGAATTGTAGTGATTTTTCAACCCAAACACAACTAATTAAACTTTTGCACCCAAATGTTTATAATGCCCGTAACAACTACTAGTATTAATTAAACCTGTGCACTCAAATGTTTATAATGCCCGTAACAACTACCAGTATTAATTAAACTTGTGCACTCAAATGTTTATAATGCCCGTAACAACTACCAGTATTAATTAAACTAGTTCACTTAAGTGTTTATGATGCCCGTAATAACTACTAGTATTAATTAAACTTGTGCACTCAAATGTTTATAATGCCCGTAATAACTACTAGTATTAATTAAACTTGTGCACTCAAATGTTTATGATGCCCATAACAACTACTAGTATTGATTAAACCTGTGAACTCAAATGTTTATGATGCCCGTAACAACTACTAGTATTAATTAAACTTGTGCAGTCAAATGTTTATGATGCCCGTAATAACTACTAGTATTAATTAAACTTGTGCACTCAAATGTTTATGATGCCCATAACAACTACTAGTATTAATTAAACCTGTGAACTCAAATGTTTATAATGCCCGTAATAACTACTAGTATTAATTAAACTTGTGCACTCCAATGTTTATGATGCCCGTAACAACTACTAGTATTAATTAAACTTGTTCACTCGTATGTTTATAATGCCCATAACAACTACTAGTATTAATTAAACTTGTGCACTCAAATGTTTATGATGCCCGTAGGCCGTAACAACTACAAGCATTAATCAAACTTGTGCACTCAAATGTTTATGATGCCCGTAACAACTACCAGTATTAATTAAACTTGTGCACTCAAATGTTTATGATGCCCATAACAACTACTAGTATTAATTAAACTTGTGCACTCAAATGTTTATGATGCCCATAACAACTACTAGTATTAATTGAACCTGTGCACTCAAATGTTTATAATGCCCGTAACAACTACTAGTATTAATCAAACTATTATTAAGAAACTGTTTACACCATTAAAATATTCAAAACCCCTAAAAGAAATCAAGTCATCCTAAAATGGTGATCAGTACAGATCAAGACAGCTAGAGTTAAAATTTGTTTCTCCAAGCAACTCTATCTTCGGCTAATATCTTAAGCTTATTAAGATCATTCAAAGAGTTAAGTTTTAAACCTCTACGGGTCAAATCATTCACAATAATCTTGAACAAATTCTTACGATGCGCACCGACGCGCCCTTTACAGTTTGTTGTGACAGCAAACTTTAACGCTAATGCAGCGGGGGAGTCATCAGCACTACGCAAGATATGACCTAGGAGCTTCCACCTTGCTTTAGGGACACGATCTGATAGTTTAACTGAGTTACATCTTAGGTATAAGTTTGCATTGGATATTGTTCCATGAGGCCAATAAATGTTCAGTAATGATCTAAGGTGTTTTCTATGGCAAATGTCTAGTTTTTCTAGTGACTTTGCAGTAGGACACCAACTACTGCAATTGTACATGATGATTGATACAATTTGGGCTTCGTATACTGCTA